AATAGGAATGTACGGGCGTGATGAGCTCAACGACAATGGCATGCTACTGTTGAATTTCGCAACGGAGAACAGGCTAGCTCTCACGAACACGTTCTTCGAGACACGCAAGGGCGGAATTTGGCACACATACAACGGTATGTCGGGAAACGATTACAAGCGCCTTGACTACATCCTGACAAGGCAGGCACACCGCGGCCGAGTATCTAACGTGGTCGTCATCCCCCAGCCGGTTTCGCCCAGTCAAAGCAGACTCAGACCACAATATGGAAGTAGCCACCGTCAACTTCGGTGGCAGGCTTGCCCACAACCGTGCAGTCCGGACTAAACCGAAACCGAAGCAATTCAACAGATGGGAATTTTGCAGTTCGAAGCAGCACCGTGTGTGGTGACTAATCGGTTCCTCCTGAACCTCGACACACGACTGGACGAGCGAACAACCACCGCCGCGGAATTGGCGACCGACTTTACCAATGCTCTCCTCGAAGCATCGCGGACGACCCTGGGGGAGGAACCGCGGAGACGCCGCACGCAGGAATGGTGTTAGACCCCAGAGACGCGAGCAGCGCTGGAGCAGGCCCTTGCCAAACGGCGGGAAGAGCGCCGGGCGATGAGGGGCAACTCGAACTCAGCAACTTGGAGGGTTCTCAAAGCAACGTGTAAGGGAGTGGCTACAGCAGTCGAAACGGGCATTAATGCCCACCTGGACGGATATGTGACTGAGCTCGAAGCAATCTTCAAAGATCGCGACATGCGAGGACTGCACCAACACCTCAAGAGATCAGTGGGCCTCAGCGGGAGACAAGCGGGGGGACAGCAGTTCGTCGCGGATGAGAACGGCGTGTTGCCCCGGAACAGGGACTACATCCTCCAACGGTGGGCGAGGAAAAAATGACAACAATCCCGCAGGAAAAAAGGCTCCAAATATCCGGCTCTTTCAACCATCGCGCTGTAGAGCGACCCTTCGGCAACCCCCCCCGGGGAATCGTCCATAAAAAAGTTATCCGTTCATTTGGCGAGAACGAGGTCTATAGAGCACCGATTTACGATGTGCTGGGTTGTGAGGATGGATCAATTAGGGCACTCTCCGTCACACCGGTTTCATCTCACTCTGACAACAGATGGCCGTTCTTGACACGCATTTGCTACCAAAATCATCGAAACGTCCCCGGGAGTTCGACGAGAGGTAAAGGAACGCAAAAGCGGAGATCTGTACACAGCATTACACACACACGCAGTTACATAGGTTGCTCGGCGGTTTCCAACCTGGGGGATACAGAGCAAGCGCTCGATAAGCTAAACAAACACGCAACACCGCTGGGGGGGCAAGACCGCATTGACGAGGGAAGGGAGGCGCACACACAGCTCGTGGCGGATGTCATCGCCACTGCTGTTGCTTTGGCGTGTGGGGAGAGGGATCATCGGAAAACGAAACCTTTGCGCTCGGGGCAAAAAAAACTACGAACTCTGATAATCCCAGCAGATAGACTCGGCGTTTTTGTTTTGCAGGCTGTGCCAAACGCTTGCGTTTCTGAGCATACTGCAGCCTCCTCGTGTGTGTTAATCTCCACACAAGACGGAGCATGGGCACAGCTCGTGGCGGATACCTTTGGTTTCCCTGTTACTTTCGTGCGTCAGGAGGGGTTACCCGGAAACAAAACTGCTGCTGTCCAAGGGGCAAAAAAGCAGAGAGCCTTTTGGTGCCCAGCGCCATCCATGGCGTTTTTCCCGCATGCATGCACTGCCGAACAGAATTAAGAGCGAGGGAGTCTTTGCCATTACGCATGGTGTAACGTCCAAATATTCTTTCACATCGTTTGTTGAGTGAACATATATTACGAAAGGTGATCTGCGACGACGACGGTCTCCCACATCTACTGCGGAGGCTCGACGTGCGAGAGGACGAGTAGTTCCTCGTCAAAGCGGTGACCTTGTTTTTTTTTTGCCTCCAAGCACGTGTGTGCAGTCTCTTCGTGTCTAATCCCCTAGCCTCTACCTCATGCAACACGCCTCCTACATTTTTTTTGTCTACAGGAAACCGGACGAGGTAGTTCCAAATCACAGGCGGCGGGCTCGTGTGCTGTGGGCGATCATGATGGTGGGAGTTATCACATGTGAGCGCGCCTATCAAGAACGCTGAGCTATCCTGCGAACGCTGTACACGAAATCAGCAAGACGGTATAGTAGACCTATTTCCCGCCCTGTTCCTCTCTCCTTCTCCCTTTATTTGAAACGTTTCATAAACGGTTAGTCTATTTATAAATTAACTGGTGTAGGGTTCGCTGCGCCGAACATTTTGATTCACGTGTCGCCTCTCAAGCAACGTGAATCGTCAGCGCCGGCGCGGTCCTGCCGCAACCCAGTCTACAAACGGTAGACAGACGTAGAGTCTACAGTGGTTTTGTGGAATCGAATACCAGTTTTTCTTGTTAAGTGTTTTTTACCCCAACAATTGAACTTTTTTGCCGCAAATGCATCCATACGTAGACAACATTGTGTTACGCCCGCCTCCACCTGACGTCTCTCGGCGACAGTTTCAAGATCTAGCTGGGCACACGGAAGAATATACGTGCAATGCTCACAATAGACAACATGTAGTTGTTCCTGTCTTCGCGACGTCTCGATGGCAGTTACTAATGTGAGGATCTAGCTTGGCACAAGGCGGGGTTTCTGGTTATTATCTGTCAAACCTTCATGCAGTTCTCAGCAATACACATTGTTCCCGCCGCGGTGACGGTGGCTCTCTTACGACGTAAACACACATCATCCGGTAGGTATCCATGTTAGTACCAAAGCTTCTGCGACCAATCGTCGGTCCTCGCGTGGAGATATGCAGTCTTTCGGTGACCGCATGCTACGGGCTGTCGGCCCTTGCACGCTGAACGCATTGACGCGGCTCGAACCGTATTGCTTCACCGTAGAGGGTCCTGTAGCGGCAGCATGCGTTCGTCAAAGTTGCAGGTGTCACGGCCTTGTGTGCGCTGTATTCAGTCTACTTCGTTGCGGTTCTGCTCGAGCAATAGTAGCAACGTTTGTGCGGACGACAAGCCACGCTTTCATCGTTCGATACTCAGATTCGCCCCGGCCATCCCTGTTCGCAAATCGGGAGCACTTTGTCCTATGTATCAGCGGATGGATAGGCTGTCTGAGGCCCACAGGCTTCTGTGGCCCACAAACAACCCTCTTACCTGCTTGCGTGTGTCTTCGCAGATATCGGTTTGCTCGTGAAGAACACGGTGGAGAGAATGAAGTCTCCAAACACCTCTGTCGAGCTGTCGGTGAGATATACTGAGTTGCTGACCACATCCGTCATCGCCTACATCGATCCCCAGCATTCTTTGTTCCGTGGCATGCCGGTTCAACTCAACGGTATGCGGGGGCTCCTCTCTGCCTCATGCGTTACGTATTTGTAGACGACTGCCCGACAGTCCGCGGAGATGTGCTTAGATCGTGTCGCACTAACGCAGAACAAGGACAACGGCGAAAAGGGAGAAACGATGGAGAGTCAGTTCGACGACTTGAGCACCCACACCACTCCAGATGTAGAGCCCCCACTCACGGCACTTCTGATACCACCGCTCGGACCGACACATACATGCCAATTCGATTGGTTACGAGACCTACCAACAATCCGGACGGCGATACTGTTTGGTTCACCTCGTCCAAGATCTTCCGGCGAACACAACGCTGGAATTGCCCTCCTGGAATGTGCCGCGGGAACAATATCCGAGGGTGCGGATATTTTACCGCCGGCTCACAGCAGTTGTGAATACCGTTCGAAGGAGGGGCACCGCAGACAGTACTGGGAGACACAATCTGCTCACGTGTTCCGGCGTGTGTCATCAGCGACCGTGTGCTAATATGCGCAAGTGGGTCGTCAGACACCACGTGCTACAATGTACAAGTACTCGTCAGAAAATCAACCGGGGCTCTACGGACGGCTGTATGTCGTCCATCAAATCGACAGTGCACTACTCGCGCACCATCTCGCGAACTGGTGAACCGCGGCATTTTTTTACCTGTTTCCCTTGTCGCTGTTTCCTCAACACGTCCCGCCGCCGTACAGAACGTGGTGTACACGTACCCGGACCTCTGGGTGTGCCCATACAACCAGTATGGCTGCGATGATATCACCCTCGAGCTGGGATGTGTGACGTCGTCGTGGAGAACCGAGGCAGGCCCACCCAGCGCAATTTTCTATAACAGCGAGGGGACCGACCAACAAACGACAGACCCACTGGAGATCGAGGCTACCTGGGTCGACACGAGTGCCATAGAGGGGATCGCAAAAGCAAGAGAAGCATGGTCACGAATACGCTTGAGTTTGCTGTAGTTTCGAAAGTCGAAAGCGTATTCGTGCATGGGTTGGAAAGGCCCAGCCATCTATGGGGTTTGAGTATAGAGGGTTTGGGGCTGACACACTTGAGGACATAGCGGACGTGTCTTGTGGCCAACATTGGGCGTCGTCCGAACCTTCGAGCCCAACCAACCATGGAGTATCCCGTGTGTATATCCCGGTCTCTATGTTCTGTTGTTTGTGTGCGCTGTCTTTGGCAACATGAAGGCCCGTGCATGTCGATATGCGATTGAAGCCATGAACCTGCTCGTTAGGTCCTCATAGTATGGCCCCTGAAACACCTATAACACCCATTGTTTAGTCTATTGTCGTGCTTGGCGTCGCTATCCTTCAGGGGAGAGGACTCTGTGTGGAGTTCAACACATCGGCTGCGACCGCTTTTGTTGGACAAGAGAGGGACCCCGACGAGTACTTGGACTACATCCTCTTGGACGTGAGGCGTTGCTATTATGTCTCGTAGTCCCCGGATAACAAAACTATTGAATCCCCTCCGTACGAAACGTTCGAACGTTTTTCACACGACGGCCCCATTTGCGTAGTTTGGCGTGAGTGAGTAGGTCGTTTGCGATATCCTAGGACGGGCATATTGCGTCCTGCGCAGATAGTGAGTGGGAGATGTTGCCCGCCACGCCCAGATCAAATGGTGTTATCATTGCAGCGGTGACCCCGGAGAAACTGTGGCTATGAACTAACCATTGTAGAACCCATACCAGGTTCCCGTCCTTTTCCCAAGCTGCTCTTACGCGAAGACACTGACAGTCCGGTCAACACGAGCTACTGTCCTCGATTCCATAGTGTTTCGGCTTTCCTGTAGGATTGGGTGATCAGGTCTGGATTTCGTCCGCGTCGTTCAGCAACACGCGGGCTGGGGTGGAAACCACAAACATAGCGTTGAACACCCGGACTGTTGTTCAGCTCTAGGGATCAATAGGTCACCTGCAAGGCCGCAGGAGCCAACGACATCGACGTGACGCTGCCGTAGCTCCACAAGACCGGTCTTGTGCTAAGCCCGACGCGGACAAGCGAGGGGTCTTTTGATCGACCTGCTGTGGATGCGTCAAGACGTCCAGCCTCCAGTCCCATCACTGCTGCGTGCCACGGATGTGGAAGGTATCTCGGGCCTCGTCGATATCATCCCTTCTGTTAACAGACACTCTGGCATTGCTGCGGTCGAATTACCCAACAAACACGTACGCCCTTTGCCTGATTTGAGCAGATGTATTGGTACCCCAGCGGTAATGAGACGACGGAGTCTACGACGTGCGTGGAAGATGGAGAAGAGTGGGAGCCTCACAGGTGAACAAACCCAAACCGTCTACACAGGATAATGAGACGGCAAAAATCGGAGAATGCCATGCATATGACATGAGACCCCCCAACATTCAGGCGAGTGACGTACGTCTTTTGGGCATGGCGGAGATCGTCCACAAGACGGTAGACGTTACTTTTCTTCCCAACGACTCGTCGCTGTATTCCTCCCGGACCTCGCAGAGAGTGGGTGTACGCGTTCCTGACCGATCCAGAGGACCTTACCATGGTGTCGACGGCAATACAGTTGTCCTACAGCTGCATTACAAGTACATCCACCAGCCACGTCTTCAACTCGGTGGTGAGCTAACCCCCACACGGTGGACTTTGGAACCTTCAGCTAGAGAGGCGAGTGTGCCGACAGCCGCTCTGTGCACCTAACATGCTGGTGAGGATGCTTACACCATATTCGTTTCATCACTGGAAGGCGGCTAGTCGTTTTTGCTATTGTGTGTGTTTTGTGTAGTGTTGTAGCATGCCTTTTCATGGAACTCCTCTCACAGCGCTGAACGTGGGTGCGCGCCTCGCGTGGTTTTCTGATCCAGGGAATCGGCCTCACCAACCAGATTAAATATACCGGGGACATCATTTCTTCGTACAAGGCTGTATCGATAAACTCCGGGGTGTACAAGGATCAGGTGAGATGGGCAACTCAAAAGACTGGTCGTTACGTGTTCGTGGAAGCTATCAACGCTTCCCGCGTTACACGCCACAAGACCGTGACGGAGAACTACCGGAGCCTCGCTGCTTGTCGTCCCCTTGAAAGAAGATCTTCGCGTGTCTCTATCTGTCACTCGTACTTCCCCTTCTCCAGGCGGACGGTGACATCACCAAGCCATACGCCCGTTTGTCGATGGAGCTCAAGCAACAGTTTGACTCATGGGAGATCATCACAGAAGCGGACCCATTCGAATTCGCCGAGATTCTTGGTAACATCGGAGGGTTTTGGGGTAAGCGAACACGCAAGCAAGCCAAAGACCAAAGCTCGCGGGGAACGCGCAGGGTCTGCATCAGGCAGACCTGCCGTGTTTGGCACCAGCTATGCGTTCTCTGCCATCAAATACCCTCTGCTGGTAACCCTGCACGCGATTTAATCTTGCTCGGTTCTCTTCGCTATTGTTGTGTTCTCCTCGCCCGTTCCTTTGCAGATCTGATCCTGATTTTATGGCCTTTGTTCTTTGTGGCGGCCAGCCAGCCAGAACCAAATCTCAAGCCTCGCAACTTTGCGAAATCGTTCACCAGGACAGTAGAGCGCTTCTCGGGCATGACGAAAACAGTCGCCAACTCGGGGCCTATGAGGCGTATCGAATCTATCGAGATGAGAAACGGAACGAGCGGTGCATCCCTGGAAGACGGCCTCCAAGAAGAGCCGGTGCCGTGGGAACATCCACCCGCATTAGGGGTACAGGTGCGCGTAACGTCCCCTTGGGTTCGTTGCCACTGCATGAAATGCTTCCCGGGAGACGAGGTTCGCCATGGTTTAGCGCACTGTGCATCATAGTGGTCGTTTAGCGAGGGAGGCCGTACCCTTCGATTCCTTGTCACATTTTGGGCGCGCCGAACATTCCAATGACCAGAGACGATGCTTGTCGATCTTTCCGTTCGGGCGAATCATGCAAATCGAAGTTGGCTTGGGGTCTTCCATAATGGAATCAATCGTGACGGTTTAGGAGATTTAGTGGTGCTTGTTCGACCTTTGAAGGGACTTTGTCCAGTTTTTTACTGCAAGTTCATTGAACAGTTATGATCGTGAGTCAGCAGTGCCTTCCGTTGTCTTTGGTTCGACACATTCGTTCGCAGAACAAACACGTTAATCGTACCTCCTCCGTACCCCCCTTCGCTCCGTGTCGTTCCCGATTTCGCGATGTGTGGTTGCATTGGGGGTCTCGGGCACGTTCCTTCCGGCTGGCGCTACCCGACTTTCGTTGCCTGGTGTGCAACGTTACGATTACGTTGAAACCCGCTCACGGTCCAGAGGAGCCTTTCAAGAAGAGTACCTAATAGCTTCCGGGTGATGCAGCCCGATGCTTGACCCGTTTGGGACATCCATCCCCAAAGTTGGTCGGAAAATGTGTGTGTTGTAGTCTAAACCAATGGGTGCTTTTGCATGGCGCTCCATTTTATGTTTGGAATGAACCAATACATGCATGATTAGGGATGATCTTTCCAGTATTTATATTTCAATCGGTGAGGATGGCGTGTTGTCGTGATTTTTGAGCCTTTGGAGTAAGATACCATCTGGGTGGGCATGTCTTGTACATAATCACCTGCCGAGCTGTGTTCCGTATTGATGCAAGCAGCGGGCCATTCGCTGTTTGGTAGCAGCAAGCACGTTTGTATTTAATTCTTCAGTGTTGCCTGGGATCGAGGGATGGCCAGTGATTACCAAGGGATGGGATAGGAAAGGAAATTAGACTGAAACAGAGCCACAACTCTACACACAATGGTCGGATTCCCTCCACAGTGAAAGATCGAGTCACATTTGGCCCCGGCTTGGGATCCACGTGCGCAAGGGCTTTCTGGTTTTGGTCTGATTGAGATTTTTTCTGGGTGTTGGGCGTCTGTCTTCCTTTTGTGCGCTTCCCTCGCTCTTCAAAGGCAAAATGAAACCATCAGACTAAATAGTCCTGCGACACAAGCACGCACCCCCTCGAGCGGGAAGAATACGCCATCGAGGCTCACCGTCGCTGCTGACAAAGGGTTGCATCAGAGCCCCTTCGCACAACGTCTCGTGAAAGCAGCGGCCGACAACCGCAACCTAGACTTGGACAAGCCCTTCCCGCCTTCGGCCGGTACACGCAGGCGCGTCATCACCTCCGAGACATCGCCTAGCCGCCGTTCGTTCTTCCCCGGTCACCACGCATGCTCCACCCTCTCCCGCTGAACCGCCGCCAGCGCGGCCCGGGCGCGATCCACCAACACTTTTGAGGTCACCGGCATGCCCGTCGACCAGCCTGCCGGCAACTAGGCCGACACTTCCCGTGGGGACGCCACTGAAGACGACGTGCTCCTATCGCAAAACACATTTGTGCTAACCGTACGAAACTTCACTCTGCTCAGGGACACATTCCAACGGGCCTTTGCCCAACGAAGACCAACAGTGCGCTTCTTCACCGCAGCGCTTTTCCCGTTTCCCCCAGTAAGGCTCTGCGGCTCGTCGTGCCGAGGAAACTCGGTGCGTGCGGGTTGCGATTCAAATACTGCACAAAACAACAATTGTTGGTTGTTCCGCAAACTACTGTAACCCGCAACGGAGAGGCGTATCCCTTGTACTGTAGATAAAGTAAGGCTCTCTGTTGTTTAGGGCCAAGTCGTTGTGCTTTGAAGCCGCGGCCGAGAGGGGGTAACAGCTACTGCCTGTTAGGTCGCTGTGAATACAAGCCGTGTCTGCCCAAAGAGTGTTCCACTATCTGGGAGGCTGACGGGGCGTCTCGAAGTCGGTACACAGGATGTTGTTGTTGATGTTGTTGTTGTCTTCACATTAAAAAATCGTTCCGATTTCTCTACCCAGTACTTTCGTCTGTCCCTACTGATCAAACACTTGACCGAGCGATTCCCGTGGTCACAGGCCAGCTGACCTAATAAAGGAATACTCCAATCAAGTGGACCAGAAGGGTCCGTAAGCCCATTGAAACCAACGACAGATATTCTGGGGCCCTCCGCTCCCCTCTACACACAAGCTATGTGGCGCAGAAATGTACGTATGCATCAGCATCACAGGCCAGAGAGAGGTACATCCCTTGGTTCAGTTTCGGCACTCACAGATAAAGAGAGCACGTTATCCGAGGAAGAAACGAAAAGGACAAAAATATATACTTCTAGATAATAGAGAAAGGAAAAGAAAAGGAAAAGGAAAAGAGGCAGAAAAAAAAGCAATCTAAAATACAGACATACACAGAACAAGAAGGACACATGCACAACCACAAGCGAATAAACACAATCAGGGAGGGCCACCATCCACAGCCAAGGCATGCAATCACTGGTGGGGACTGATGCAATGGTGCATTGCGGGGAGGGGGAGGGCGGATCAGCGAAAGGATTCATTTCGGCTTATCTAACGTCACTCGGTCTGCCTAATCTCGTTTACTTTCTTCCCTCGCTGTTTCGTCCGTCTGCTTCCCCCTCTCTCGATCCTTTGGTTGGTGACATGTCGGTACTGTTGCTAGTCTCGTTGTCTCATTTCACCGCTCTTCGTCCGCTATCCTCCCCTTCGTCCTTGTGACAGGCGGCCATCAACTTCTCAACTCCCTGCCGTACCCCCGCATGCCGTGGTACACCCCGCTCTACCTTCGCTGCTTCCGTCCAAATTAATTACGGGACTCCGAAAACACATGGGTCGTCTGCCGTGGATCTGTGTGTAGCCTTGAACGCCTTGAAATGATCCTTCAGGCTCGTCAGCCATTTCTGCTCCGGGAATCCCTTTCCTGGGTTTCCCCCCCCACCAGTTCGCCGAACATCAGCCGTTTCGCGAGTCGCCCGCCCGGCGGCCTCGCCAATGCTCCAACTAACAGGAGGTCCCTTTGCCGAAGAGTGGCTTCCACGCTCTGGCACCCGCCCCCTTCAGGGTCGGGAGTAGGAGAGTTGCCGGTAGGTGCCCTTCTTACGCTGGTACCCGAAAACTCGCTGGAGGAGCCGGTGGTGTATCGACCGCAACACCGGTAGTGATTTCGACGTGGGGCCCATGTCATGCAACCGTACAATAGCGCGTCCATCGCCTCCGCCTGGAGCAGGCGGATCTTGAGTCGAAACGGTACGTTCGGTCTGTCGAAGAGCTCCTGTCCATTTCTCCTGGCGCATTACCACGCTACGCTGATCCTGAGTTGATCTCCCGGGTGAGGTCGCCATGCTCATTGACGAGGTCACAAAGGTACCGGAAATCAGTCGTCAGGGTGTACCTCTGTCCGGATTCTTCGATGATCAGCGGTGACGAAGGTGACGGTTGGGGCGGCGGTGCTTCCTGCCCCCCCTCCCTTTCGTGCATCGGGAGAGCGTCTCCGTCTTCTCCGACACCGTCAGCCCGAACTCGCCGAACAATCCCACGATGACGGTCATCATTCTCGCGAGTTCGTCGGCGGATCAAACCAACGCCGACGTCATCGGCATGAGCATCCCCCATACCGCCTTCCGCACTTGGTCAAGTGGTGTTCCCGGCCCCGCCCTCGTCTCCTCCGCCAGGTGCACCAGGTTCCGCAGAATAACATCATCCTTGCTGGATCGAGTGACAACGACCTCGAGAGCCACGACGAAGAATATGTTGAACAGCACTGGGGACAGCACACACCCTTATACACCAGTCCGACTGTGCTTTCCACTTGCATTTGCCACGCTCCTCGCCAACCGGGGAGACATCGACGCCACGCTGCGAGACCAGCGCCCGCCGGAGCAATGCCCTGACCTTCCGGATTGCCAGGCCAGCGACCTTCGTGTCCCCAAGAGCTACAAAGAGGCCATGGCGTCGAAGCACCGGCACTTTTGGAGCGACTCTATGTAAAGGGAGTTTTATGGCTTGTTGGAAGCGGGGACTTTTACTCCGGCGAAGTAGCAACTAGTGGAGAACGCAATTAACGCTAAGTGGGTATTCGATTGGAAGGCAGATGAGTTTGGATGGCCCACTAAGGTTAAGTCGAGACTTGTAGCGAGAGGTGATATGCAGAGAGAGTACATTGACTTTGGAGAGTTGTACGCGCCTACCGTTTCTGTTTCATGTGTTAGGATGTTGGCTGCTTTGGCGTGCGAGTTGAACCTCGACTTGTGTCATTTCGAT